GGGTGGAGAACCTCATCCATTTTACCTTAATTTTCAGCCCAAACACTCAGACTTTGCTATGCGCAGACTGCAAAGTCATTGGATGATGAAAGTAAAGCAGTTAAAAAGAAAGAAATCTCACCTCCTTTGGTCAAGTAGTTTCAGCCAAGGTCGTTCGAAGAGTGCATTGAAAGAAGACCATAAACTTACACAAGGAATCTGAAAGCGCTTTGAAAAGTAAACATGGCCTATGAATTGAAAAATAATAAGATAACAAAGGATAAATTTCATTCTATTCCCTATTGACATTCTTTTTAAATTTTCTTTTACACGAGCAATACTATAAGAAGGCGGAAATTGAATCTATGATCTTAGGTGCATAGGTAAATATAGATTGAATGTCGGAATTAGATTAACTTTGAACTTTTTCACATGTGGTCTAAATTTTCGGCTTCAAGGCCTTATTTCCTTGTTCGAAAGCCCATCTCATATTACATGGTTTTACTTCCATATTGTAAAAATTAATATGGTTGCAAAGCCATGATTGACCATATTATAAAAATTATTGAAACTTATTATAGGATGTGACGTGATTATTCATGCAATGCAGTCATTCTATCTACCCCGTACCATACATACTCTTATCATTAACTGTTAGTTTTGAACTGTCAATGCCATACTTAATCGTGTCATAGTTGTACTTGTAGCTAGCAAGAGAGAGGCCAGAGAACATTTCCCCTTTTATTTTCTTTTTGGTATTATACATATGATATCTTCTATACGAGTTAACGATGTTTGTGTACTATTAAAGATAGAGACACGTATCAAAATTCTAAATAAGGAACACGGGATTTAGGGACATCAGATCTCAACTCAAAGCTCTAACAAAAATCTAGAGTCTCAAACTTTTAGGTTGTCTGTAAAAAAATTTGAATTTCTTCTCTCAAGTCTAAAGCTTTCTTCGGATTTGGACCTTGGATTGGACGTACAAATCAAAGCAAAAGCACCTCTTGCTTGGCTGTTGTTTGACTTAATAATTGAAACTGGGTCCAATAAATCTCATGATCAATCTCACAATGATACCGCAGCTCCATGCCTGCCTGCCTAGCCTACCAGGCAAGGAAGATGAAAAAGGTAACCCCTAATGATTTAATTGCAAGATTCACGGCAGGTTGTTTTCTTTCTTCTTTTATTATGGCAAAGGCTTTTTCATTTAAGAGCAACAGCCCTATATCATATGCGTAATGCATGCCATGCTGCTAGGAAATGATGTCGGGATGTGGGGTGGTGGTGTGGTGGCCCTCCAAATGCATGCATGCATGCAAAGACTTTTCAAACTCCGAAGTCCCCACCTCCACATGCGCAGCTCATCTCTCTCATCAATCAATTCTCTTATAACTTGAATTGAAGGTAATAATAATAAATGATGCAATTGCCTTGCCTGGCCGCTATTCAAACTCAAACTTTTGTACAATTTCAACTAGGCTACCACACGCCCACTCATGAAGTTATGAGCCGGACCACGGATGGTGATTTTGATTTCACAATTCACATGCCATAATTTTAAATTCAGAATTTGATATTCTAAAGTATCTATTGGTACAGTCGTGAATTAAGTTAGTTGACTAGAACAATGACTTATGAAATTTTTCCTATTAAAAACAAACTACTTCGCATGTTATTATTGGGTATGATTACTGAACAAATCAAGAAGGGGTATGTTTCTAGTGAATTTGACAATTATAATTTATGACCTGGATCTTCATTATCTTGAGTCTCGCTTATTTTTATTTTTTAAATATATTTATTGGAATGAGTAATGCTATTGGGCTACACTTGATCATATTAGCTAATAACCTTATGTGACAGTTGATGTGGTCATGCCACATCAATTGATGAATCTAGCACGTAAGAGCATCTCCATGAGTGTATGCAAATGAGTAGGCAACCTTTTTTGTGTGGATAAAAATGCGAATTTATTATATTAGTAGGAATAAATATTACAAATGACACAAACTGTAAAGGGAGTCATCCCAATAACAATATGACAAACATATGGGTAAAACTTCTCCCCAATAACCTGAGTCAGCTAAAAGTTGTGACAATCTGGAGAGAATCACTCTGGAAAATAACATTTCTATAACCTCTTTCAACCGCCATAATTTTCCCGAATCTAGCCCAATAACATCAAATACAAAACAAGCATCTCTCTCTCTATCTCTATCTCTATCTGCGTGCGCAACGAGTAGGCAAACCTTTGCTGCTTGCCACATAAGCATTAATCATTCAAGTATGTAAAATTTACAAAAATAAAAAATAAAAAATTATGTAACATTTACATATTCCCTCCAATAAGGCAATGATGCCTACTTCAAAATCAATAGGTATATTCGATCCTATCTACATTTTATAATAAAATATAATTCCCTTTCTCTCATCTACTATTTATATAAAATAAAATAATAATAATTGAAACAAATACATTTTTTAAACGAAAATAATTATTTACCAAAACCCCCCAACTATCATCCTCATCCCCAGCTGAACCACGTGCTGCAGAAGG